ATTATATACAATTTCATCCTTAACAAAGACTTTCACAAGACATTTTAAAGTGAAAATTTTCGTTGCATTTCCTTACTTATGCGCTCTCCACCACACCCCTCCCCAATAATATACATATGTTGATAGGTTCAGGGCGTGCTCAATGCATCAGTTACTGATAGATCTATTCAAACTTAACAAATGTTCATATAATAATGGGATGCAATATAAAATGTTGATTAATCCTATCCGATTTTGTATAGCTGCCCTTTAGGGACCGCTTCATAAGGTATGGCTTTGGGGTGATGTTGATTTTCACGCGACAATGTGAATTACAATTCCCCACCCACCCACCCCCAAAAGTGTATGAGTATGTACAGAATAAGAGACGGCCCACCCTGCATGTCATGTACAGTATCTATGACGCCCTCTCCCCTTCCCATAATTTCTAAACATAAAGTGCGGTGTACAAAAAATGCTGACCCCTTTAGCTCCCCCTGAACAAAATGGGTGACACCCCCACCCCACCCTCCAACCCTTACAATCAACACCCCCACCCGCATTTCCATATATTTAATTATGAACGGTTCCTTATATTGATGTAATTTCATTGATTATTTGAAAATGTATGTTTGCAAAATTCAAATCAGGTGATGGGTACGAAAAGGAAATCTTATTCGATTATATAATAAAATGCCAAATATATGCATGCAAATATATTGAAAATAACAAAACAAAATTTTGAGAAACATGTACCGTGACATACCGTAACCTTGTGAGATAAAACATGAGCCCTAATTCGAGTTTCTTGCTACTGCTAGATTTAAAACGGCATTCCTAATGCTTTCATTATACATGAAGGACATACTTACCAAATAAACACCAGCTTGCCGCGGAAGATGGTGAAAATAGAACGATATTGCGTTGAACTTCGCCAAAAAGTGAACTGACAACGATCAGCTGCCTTTGCGCTCGATAATTGTGCGCATGTCCGGATATGGCCAAAGCGAGGCGCGTCGAAGGTCAACATCTGGCTTGTGTTTGAAAGCAAATTGTCGGAATTATACAATTTTCACAGTTTGTGGGAAAATATCAAATGTAATGCAATTTGGATAACTGATGACTTTATACCTAAAACTGCGATTTACATTAATATTTCCGATCCGCTGATCGATGCACAATCAAATAATATATAAGATTATATCTGTCACTAGCTCGATCTTGATCTTTTATGAAAATAATGTTCCGAAGGATAGTTGCTAAGTTGGATACCTATTACCAATATGAATTATGTGTCAAATTTGCCAAAGAAACAATTAGTTGACATTTTGTTGGTTCCTTTACGTTGAAACAACGCTTGACAACTAAACGAATCTCGACTTAACTTTCTTTGGTCGCATGATAAACGCTTGAATCAACGCCTATGAAAGGTTGATCAACCAAACAACCAAAATTCAACGTTGATTCAACGTTGATTCAACGTTATGTGCCCGCTGGGGAAAGCATTTTGATTCCTTTGGCTTCCCGCGATGTGACGTCACGGGTGTAGCAGGAAAAAGGTCCTTGTAGAATCTAGTGCCGCCATTGATATCTTATCACCACTCGGTCTCGTCCATAGCCTTCCGGAGTTACACGAGTGACCACGTGTATCGAGGGTTGAATGGTAAACCCGCAAAATATTTCGCCGCGTAATACCGATGGAGGTAGGCTGTTTTCCTGGCTGCTGTGACTGTTACTTCAGTCCTGAAGATAATGCAGTCGCCCTTTTATACAGATGATCAGCTGAAATCTTCACGTCCTCAGTGCTGCTATTGTAGACTGCATACATCGATCTCCATGAAGCATCGTAATTGTAGAGTTGATGCTGAACTTTGTTGTAAATTCTACCCAGGGAGTCGTTGATGATTTTGTAGTTTCCTAGCCTTAGCAAGGCTGCTGCTGAACCACGCCAGTGTGAATATCTGCCGATCTGTACGGAAGTGAAGATCTCTGTATGGCCATGAGTCTTCTGAGTAGATATATCAATCTATGTGAATCCCGTCCTGGATTCAGTCTGAAGGTCCGTGCCGGTGATGAATTCGGACAAGAGTACCCCTCTTGAACTGCATTACATGTCCCTCAGTCTTTGTGCCGGCGAAGATCTTTCCCTTCTAGGGTGACGCTAGGTCCAGTCCACCATCGTGTCCTGGTTGAATGTCCTTGAAGATCTGCATAGCGATCTGCGTGGCGGTCTACGTGGTGCGTCTGTATGGCGCCCTGTGTGTATGTCATTGTCCGTTAGTCCGGCGGATTGCCTTCCTGTTGTTGATGTCCTTGATGTAGGTAGTCGGTAGTCGAAGGTCCTTTATTAGGCTCATCATCTGTTGACGGTCTCTGAAGATTGTGCCGTCCTGCGCGCAGGTTGCTGACGCCATGTAGCGTTCTGTTGAGAGTCTGAGTACTGCGACGTCTCTGCGTTGTAGATGGCCTGCACTCAGGCTCATTGACGTCCTGTAGAGTTGAGTGCTGCATTCTCTTCCTTAGAGGGTGACGTCTGTATCAGGTCCACTGTTATGAGATTGTTGATTGTCCTTCGCTGGGGATCTGCGTGGAGACCTGCGTGAAGACCTGCGTGGAGATCTGCGTGGAAACCTGTGAGGAGATCTGCGTGAAGACCTGCGTGGAGACCTGCGTGGAGATCTGCGTGGAGATCTGCCTGTTGAGCTGCATCTGTAGGGCGATCTGAGACCTGCGTGGAGGTGAGCGTCTCTTGGTTCGTGAACGCCTCGGTGAAGCCCTTGACGATCTGCGAGATGTTGATGACGTCCTTGAGGCTGTGTCCGAAGGCCTTCGCGAAGGCTGTTCATCTGAGTCATCATCTGAAGATGAGCGCGCCGTCCTGCGCAGATCTGCTCCTGGTTCTGGGTGTCGCTTCGCTGGAGGGCCTCTCCGAAGTATCGTCAGTGTTGGGTCCTTCGTGCAGGTCCAGGTCGTCTCTGCGGGTGATGACTTGAGCATGAGAGCCCTGTGGCTGTCCATCATGCGATGCTCTTCTTTCGGGAAGCGCTTCTCCATCATCTCCATATCTGCTGAGAGAACTGCTGCATGAAGGCCCCGGGTTGAAGATCTGCGATGATTGTAGAGCTGCCCTCTCTGCGCTGGTAGCGATATGGTCCAGGGATCGCTCATCTGCCACCCTCGGACTGCGTGCTGTATCTCTGGGATGATCAGCAGCGGCTCATCATGAAGTCATCTCTCTTCCATCTGGACGATGTCAGCCGAAAGGTCCCCGTAGAGCTGCTAGACGTCTTAGGGGTGTGAGGCTTCATTCTGCGTAGAGGATGGCTTCTTCTTCTTCGTCTGCGTGGAGGGGTTGTCAGATGTAGAGGACCTCTTCTTCGAAGTAATGGCGGACAACATCCCAAGCCCATCCTCCGAGGACACCTCCGGCAGGTCACTGGATGGAAGTAAGTCGTCTGAAAGCAGTAGACAGCTCGTGAAGAACTCAGCCGGTTTATCCATGACTTGTAAAGTAGCCTGGATTGTCACCAGTACGCCTAAGTACAGAGAAATTTTATTTATTAATTTGAATTTCTGTTAAATGCTGATAAAGATTACATCGATAGCTGGAAGTACATGTTGTTGTGCAGGTAGGCCACAGTCAATGCGGGTCTGCAGCAGCGAACCTAAACCTACAACGAAAACAGGTTTTGGTGAAATGTAAACAACTGAACAATCACGTACAAAAAAACGTGAATAAACAGTGAAAATACGAATAAATTTCAAACCATATTGTTGAAGGATACTCCCTAAACCCCTATAAAGGTAATTTATAGGGTAATAACTAAATAATCAAAGGATATAGTGCCGTATAGGAGACACAGGTGCTCTCCCAACCGTCCACTAGGGCGAAGAAGGAGAGAGTGAAGCATGGGAGATACGGTGGCGCTGTTTTCCCGCCAAAACGGCCAGACAGATAACTCTTGGTGAGTAGTGATTTTACGTCTGTTTTTTTATTGAAGGGAGCTTCAATAGGAGATACAAGTGTTCCACTAACGTTCGCAAGAGGAAGGAGACAAGCAATAATACATGAGTCAGGATAAGCAAAAATAAGTAAATTCTTTACCTGATGAAGGAGTAAGTATATTCCTCATCTGATGGAGGAGTAACTATATTCACCACTAAATGAATGTGTAATTATATATATTCTTCACCTGATAAAGGAAGCAGTATATTCTTCATCTGATGGTGAAAGTATATAAATTCTCCACTTGATGAAGCAGTAAGTGTACTCTTCACCTAATGAAGGTTCTAATATATTTTCACCTGATGAAGGAAGAAGTATGATCTTCACCTGATGAAGAGGATGGTATATTCTTCAGCTGATGAAGGAGTAAGGATATTCTTCATCTGATTAAGAAGTATATTTTTCACCTGATTAAGGAATATGTACATTTTTCACCAGATGGTGTGAGTATATTCTTTACGTGATGAATGAGCATGTATATTCATCTACTGAAGGAGTAAGAATAGTCCCCGAAACATCTTGCTCGATACATTACAGAAATTGACCGCAGATTTATTTTAGGGGCTCATGGTGTTTGGTCATTCTACAACCTGACATCTGATGTCAACATTATCTTCGGTGGTATAATGGATTACTGAGCCACCCACAAATCGATCGTTCTGTATGACTGTCTGCCAATCGTGGGCTCACATGTGGACATCAGGCATGCAGGTGGTTCTGTGTAGCCAACTACAAATCAACTGTCCACTCACTCAGATACCTATGCTCTCTGAAGCTCATCTCCAATTTGAGAGGCACTTTGTTGCCTTTAGTCGACCAGATTAACATTAGTCATCAGCCGTATTTCTCTGTCGTGATTGCAATCTGATAATTCCTTACTGTGAAACATTGAAAGCTCACGCCCTAATGCTTTGTCTTGTTCCAATATCCTACATGCCAGTTGAGTGTAGCAGTTCCTGACATGACAGATATCGCATGTCACAAAATGTTTAAGTGAGTTTAAAACCAAATCAAAACAACTTCAGTCTGGTTTAATCACTGAAATATACAGAATGTCATTGACATGTTTTACTGTAAATTCACGTGCAAATCATGGTAAATGCTTGAACAAATTTGGCATTTTAAAAATAGCACACATCCCATCTCTATGCATCAGAAAATGGATTAATTAAATGACAAAACAATAACATATTGGCTGATTTACCGTTTACACACTACACTGATGAGATTTCAATGTACTCAATCAGTTGATTCCACAAAGAATCCTGGGGCAGTTCGGGTAGCCTAGTGGTTAAAACTTCAACATGCGTGTGTTAAGAGAATCTGATTGCGTAAATTTATCCCCACAATCAACACATTTAAAAGGGTTGATTTCTGTGAATTCTCATGTGTTTCTAAAGGTCACTTGAACGTGTAAATCTTCTCCCACATTGAACACATTCATAAGGCTTGATTCCTGTCTCTGAAAATCACTTCTACATGTAAATTTATTCTCACATACAACACATTCATAAAGCCTCATTCCTGTGTGAATTTGCAGGTGTTTCTGAAGGTCACTTGAACATGTAAATGTTTTCTCACACACAATGCACTGATGAGGTTTGATTTCAAAGTGAATCTTCAGGTGTGACTGCAGATGACTTGATTCTTGATCTTTTTCTCATATACAACACATGCATGAGGCTTCATTCCTGTGTGAATTCTCATGTGTCTCTGAAGGCCACTTGAATGTGTAAATTTTCTCCCACATTCAACACATTCATAAGGCTTAATTCCTGTGTGAATTCTCATGTGTCTTTGAAAGTCACCTGAACGTGTAAATTTTCTCCCACATTTAACACATTCATAAGGCTAGATTCCACTGTGAATTTTCATGTGTCTCTGAAGGTCACTTGACCTTGCATATTCATTCCCACATTCAACACATTCATAAGGCTTGATTCCACTGTGAATTCTCATGTGTCTCTGAAGGCCACTTGAATGTGTAAATTTTCTCCCACATTCAACACATTCATAAGGCTTAATTCCTGTGTGAATTCTCATGTGTCTTTGAAAGTCACCTGAACGTGTAAATTTTCTCCTACATTTAACACATTCATAAGGCTAGATTCCACTGTGAATTTTCATGTGTCTCTTAAGGTCACTTGACCTTGCATATTCATTCCCACATTCAACACATTCATAAGGCTTGATTCCACTGTGAATTCTCATGTGTCTCTGAAGGTCACTTGAACGTGTAAATTTTCTCCCACATTCAACACATTCAACACATATTCCACTGTGAATTCTCATGTGTCTTTGAAGGTCACTTGAACGTGCAAATTTATTCCCACATTCAACACATTCAAAAGGTTTCATTCCTGTGTGAATTCTCATGTGTCTCCGAAGGTCACTTGACTGTGTAAATATGTTCTCACACACAATGCACTGATGAGGCTTGATTTCACTTTGAATCTTCATGTGTGTCTGCAGATGACTTGATTCTGTTGGCTTGATTCCTGTGTGAATTATAATATGTCTCTGAAGGCCACTTGAATGTGTAAATTTTCTTCTACATTCAACACATTCATACGGCTTGATTCCACTGTGAATTCTCATGTGTCTTTGAAGGTCACTTGAACATGTAAACTTTCTCCTACATTCAACACATTCATAAGGCTTGATTCCACTGTGAATTCTCATGTGTCTTTGAAGGTCACTTGAACGTGCAAATTTATTCCCACATTCAACACATTCATAAGGCTTGATTTCACTATGAATTCTCATGTGTCTTTGAAGGTCACTTGAACGCGTAAATTTTCTCCTACATTCAACACATTCATAAGGCTTGATTTCACTATGAATTCTCATGTGTCTTTGAAGGTCACTTGAACGCGTAAATTTTCTCCTACATTTAACACATTCAAAAGGCTTGATTCCACTGTGAATTCTCATGTGTCTCTGAAGGTCACTTGACTGTGTAAATGTTTTCTCACACACAATGCACTGATGAAGCTTGATTTCACTTTGAATCTTCATGTGTGTCTGCAGATGACTTGATTCTGTTGGCTTGATTCCTGTGTGAATTCTTATATGTCTCTGAAGGCCACTTGAATGTGCAAACTTTCTCCTACATTCAACACATTTATAAGGCTTGATTCCACTGTGAATTTTCATGCGTCTCTGAAGGTCACTTGAACGTGCAAATTTATTCCCACATTCAACACATTCAAAGGGCTTCATTCCTGTGTGAATTTGCACGTGTTTCTGAAGGATACTTGAACGTTTAAATGTTTTCTCACACACAATGCACTGATGAGGTTTGATTTCACTGTGAATCTTCATGTGTGTGTGAATGTTTTTCAAGATTTCCAGGGTTCCAATCATGGATTCTTTCATGAGATCACCAGTTTCCAGTAATGGGTTCTTTCATAAGATCACCTATTTCTAGGATTCCAGTAAAGGGTTCTTTCATGAGATCACCTGTTTCAAGGGTTGCACTAATGGGTTCTCTCATGAGATCACCTATTTCGAGATCATCTGTTGCCAAGGTGATATTAAATATTCTTTCTTGAGACCTCCTGTTTCCAGCAAACCCTTTAACAGATTTCATTTGTTTCGGTGACAGAGAAAGGATTCTGTGGATTGCTTTCAGCGTCCCATCATTAACCTGTTGAAGTTACGTTGTTTACTGAAAACATAAGAAATGTTGTCACACTCTTATAACAACTAGGGTAGGGACCATACACAATATCATGGTATGACAAGTAGCATGATAACAAACATGATACTGTAAAAATGTCTTCACACACACAACACACTATATACAACTTAGCGGAGTGATTTTCAATAATTAGTATGGAAAATGCCAATGGTGGGATGTATAATTATCCGTTCTATAGTCTCACAATGAATTGTATTCAGCTCCAAACACAACAGCTTAGTGCATGTGGAAGACAGACTTCGGTACTGCTCCCCGTTTACTCTAAAACTCCCGGCGATCTATGCGCGAAATATGATTCAGTTTATGTTTTTTGTTAGGAAACACATATTTCCATGTTCCTTTGGGATTATGTAACTCACATTTCATCCTCCACCATAATTTGGAAGCACCATAAGGGTTACTAATTATTTTTTTACTCGTCAGTTATTCACTTGTTTACATCATGCAGTAATACCCATTCAAGCAAAACTCAAACAAACTTGTAGAGGTTGCTGATTTGTTTTAATAGAGTCCTCCTTGGGGTACATATCAGCATTAACATGTCCATTTTTAATTCCTACTCTGAACAAAGCATTTACAAAATAAAAACTAGGTTTTTGTCTTGTTCGACCACCCCTACAGGGCCTCATGGACCCCACACAGACAAGAGCGGGTAACTCTAGGCCATAACCTCGTACCTCACTTCCCATGCTGAACATAATCAGACAGAATGTGGGGAGGCGGATGGCCGTATCCCAAGGAGGACTCTTATTCAAAGAATCTGCAACCTCTACAGGTTTGTTCGATTCTTTTTCATAAAGATCCTCCATACATATCAGCATAAGACAGACATATCAGCATAAGACAGACTCCTAAACACTGAGTCTTGGGAGTGGCATTATGGCTAGTAAAACGGACCTGATAACAAAAGGAATTCCCGAATTATAAACAGAGTAAGAAATCTCACTTATCTTACCAGGGTAGGGGGTCGAACGTACCAGTTTACAAGCGAGAAAGTCGTAAATGTATTCTGCCAAAATATCTCCCCCTCCCTTCAATTTAAAGGAAGCGGAGCTAAGGGGAAACTGACAATAAACCCAAGAAGAATTTGCCCATATAAGCAAAGGTTTCCAAGGAAAATTGTTTGAGTGCAGTACATAACAAGTGTTTGCCACTGATGTGGCAATGTCCCCAGCCGCTAAAGAATGGAATATCTATATTTACTACTTTTTAATTTTTGGGTCACATACAAGATGCCTGAAATGACTGGTGTCTGCATAATCACCCAATGTAGACTGTCAACATACTTGAAAACATTGGGTGCAATTTTTTATGAGATATCGCCTTTTAGAGCTGTGTATCGTGGTCTAAGTGGCGAGACGATATATCCCGATACCAGTTTACTTAGGCGAGCCGATATATCATGAAAGTATTGGCAAGGAACCTGCGAGACGATTATCATCACGATACAATGGTGGCGATACGATACGTATCCCGATACTTTACAATTTCTAATAGCAGAACATATATGATAGATAAAATGACTTTATCTTTAAAATCTTTATTTCTTATACAGTAGATCTTGTGTTACATTCACACACACTTAAAAAGCTGTTCATTTAATAAAGTTTCAGCATTTAATGCTTTTAAAGTACAGTCAAACATATTCAGTATACTTTGATCTAACATATATAAGTTTGAAACCCAAGCTTCCTTTGGGAAAGTGTGTTTCTGCACCGATGATTTCACAAACAATTGAATGTAATTTATATCAGAATTCAGAATCACTGAAAAAAACTCTTAAGTATGCTTTCTAAATTTTATCTTCTCTTTGTTCTCTTTCTTAACAAAGCTAAGACGTCGTTCGTGTATGTTAATAAATGGTGTTATTTGTCAAACAACTAAAACATATTTCAATTACTAAAGACAAGTATTCTACAGTTCACAGAGTTTGAAACATGTTCACACTCTTTCACTTATACACCAACTCCTTTGTCCATGTAACAAAGATAACAGACACAAACAAATTCCTAAAAGGTTCAATTTGTTTTTAAAATTCAGAAGAATTTCAAAGAGACTCCCTTCCTATTCCTAATGCAATACTCCTTACAACTTTAACTAGTATTGAAGTTGTATCGGGATATATCGTCTCTTGTGGTGATACATCGATGTATCGTGGACCCTTGCGATATAAATATCCTGATATATTGCCTAAATGTGTTTTGTATCGATGCACTCGTATCGCGTAGTTGACGATGCAAACATCGATACTATCGATGAATCGTTACACCACTATCGCCTTTAACGGTCAAAGTATCGTGGTGGCCTTGAAGATAAGGTCAAGGTCACCCAAATAAACTGGTGTCTGTGTAATACCCCAATGTACACTGTCACCAAATTTGAAGACATTGGGTACAACAGTCCATGAGATATCGCGTTAACAAGAGTTAAAAGTGTGAAAAGTGTTGTGGTGACCTTGAAGATAAGGTCAAGGTCACCCCAAATCAACTGGTGTCTGTGTAATCCCCCAATGTATGCTGTCACCAAATTTAAAGACATTTGGTAAAACAGTCCATGAGATGCCGTGTTAAGAAGAGTTTGAAAAGTGTTCAAAATGCCGTGGTGACCTTGAAAATAATGTCAAGGTCACCTAAATTAACTGGTGTCTGCGTAATCACCCAATGTAGGCTGTCACCAAATTTGAAGACACTGGGTACAACAGTGCAGGAGATATCATGTTAACGACAATTTGAAAAGTGGTCAGTGTCGTGGTGACCTTGAAAATAAGGTCAAGGTCACCCAAATCGACTGGTGTCTGCGTAATCACCCAATGTAGGCTGTCACCAAATTTGAAGACATTGGGTACAACAGTTCATGAGATATCGTGCTAACAAGAGTTTGAAAAGTGGTCAAAGTGTCGTGGTGACCTTGAAAATAAGGTCAAGGTCACCCAAATCGACTGGTGTCTGCGTAATCACCCAATGTAGGCGGTCACCAAATTTGAAGACATTGGGTACAACATTTCATGAAATATCGCATTAACAAGAGTTTGAAAAGTGGTCAAAGTGTCGTGGTGACCTTGAAAATAAGGTCAAGGTCACCTAAATCGACTGGTGTCTGCGTAATCTCCCAATGTAGGCTGTCACCAAATTGGAAGACATTGGGTACAACAGTTCATGAGATATCGCGTTAACAAGAATCGGGACGTACGTACGGACGGACGCCATTGAATACATAGTCCCCCATTCCGCGTTGCGGCGGGGGACAATAATGCAAGCTTTTGAGATAAGAAAACACCACCATAAAACCCAACACCAGGGATAGAAGGTAGGCAAGTTTAACTAAAACCCAACACCAAGTAAACAAGTGTTTGCCACTAATATGGCAATGTCCCCCACCGCTAAAGAAGAAATAAATATTTATAACATATTTACTACTTTTTATTTCTTGGTCACATACAAGATGCCTGAAATGACTGGTGTCTGCATAATCACCCAATGTAGGCTGTCAACATACCTGAAGACATTGGGTGCAATGTTTTATGAGATATCACGTTTACACAAAAAAGTGATTAAAGTGTTGTGGTGACCTTGAAAATAAGGTCAAGGTCACCCAAATCGACTGGTGTCTGCGTAATCCCCCAATGAAGGCTGTCACCAAATTTGAAGACATTAGGTACAACAGTTCATGAGATATCACATTATCACACAAGAATCGAGACGCTGCTGAATACCTTGTCCCCCGTTCCGCGCTGTGGCGGGGACAAAAGGCAGAAAATTGAAAACCTCGAAAGCTCAAACGGCTAGAGAGGTGGAACCCTGCCCACTGGTGAGAACTGACTGACCGAACTGAGCACACTCGCTGGAGTGTCTGTCAAGTTGGTAGTGATGGATGAACGTACTGGGTCGGCTCCAAAGAGCCGCAGAGCAGATCTCCTCAATGGGCAGGGACACAGCGTATGCTTTAGACGTGGCAACTGTCATAACCAAATGAGCTTTTAAGACCTTAAGGTGGGATACGACCTTTGTGAGTATAGCCCATACAAATGGCAGAGACAAGCCACCTAGAAATGGTCTGCTTGTTTGCCGGAAGACCAGCCTTGCCCCTGCCGTAACAACAAAACATCCTTACGGATATCCTTTGTTCGTTTGATATAAGCCTTAAGGGTCTTACGGACATCTAAGACGTGAGCACGTCATAGAGAGGTACCTGGCAGGGAAGGCTGAATGAAAGCTGGTAGCTCAATAGACGCTGTTACATGAAAGGTGTTATCTCTCTTAGGACGAATACTAGCCCTGTCTTTATGAAAAACAGTTACCGTGGGATCAGTGGACATTGTATGAACATCGCCTACCTGCCTGCCAGAAGTCACAGCCAGAGAAAAGCTGCCTTCCAGTTGTAAAAAAAGTGGACCAGACAGCCAATCGAAAACGATTGACAAGCCCCAAGAGTGCACCTTCAACAGGAATGTGGAATGACGAAACAGCAGTGGAATTAGACTAACGCTTAGTCTCTGAATATATATAACTTTGATAGTAACAAACAAACCCATTTAAATTGAAAAGGAGCCCCAGGGAGACCAGTGCTGGGATCATAATCAACAAGCATTGTCACTAAGGTGACATAATCCCCTGCCGCAAATTATCAAATCAAACTTATAAAGTAATGAAAGTTTAAGTTAAATGTCAACAAAAACATGACCAGTCAACCTCTCTTGATGTCTTGCTCTTAAGGTGTTCAAACACACACATATTTTCAAGACTGACTTTGACATGAATGTCATAGGGTATGAAATATGCAAAAATAGTACTAAAGAAATTGCTTTTTGAAAATTATTTAAGGGAAGTCTTGAAAGTCTTTGAAGAAGATCCAGTGAACTGTTTTTGAAATATCTTGCTGACAATTCAGGTTAACATGCTCAAATCTTCAAAGGGTCTCTGTGACCTTGAAAATTAAGTGAAGGGCACCAAAATTGACTGGGCCCTGCG